AATCCAAAAACTACTCTGAAAACCATACCATTTGGCTGTGCGCCGCGATCAGATTCCTAACTGAAGGGTCCCTGGAGCTCATGGAATAAATCACAAGCGCTGCCCAACAGCTGGAATAAGTGATGTTGATTGTCCATCCAAGATGCCAATAGCATAAGATGACATGCAGGGTGTTATGTTATTACTAGAAAAGTTGTGTGGTGTTAAAAGAAAAGGTGGGTTGCTTGGACATTTATTCCTCACCGGTGTGTGCAGTCCGTGTCCAACTAACACAGAGCACAAGATTACGCGTGACTGGTACAGAGGAAACATGACGTACAGTGCATAACCAACACCCTTCATGACATTATCCAACCATCCTTTTCACAATCAAAAAAAATAAAAAACCTAAATACAAGTCTTTCCAAACTGAATTCCCAAGGTTTTTAAAAAGAAATAAGTCTCACTATTAGACAGTGTAATATTTTAGAGCTGAGCTGCCATTATCTCAGTAACTAGGCTACTGACTTCTCCTGACCTGAACATTTTCTGATATTTCCAGGTTTTCCCATTCCCAAGAGAGAAAACTCTTGTTACAGATACAAGTCATTTTTTTATTTCAGTTTTTATACTGAACAGACAAACAAACAAAAAGACTTAAAGAACAGGAAATAAGGCTGAAAAATGTCCCTAAAACATTTTACAGAGGCCATGGGAGAGTTTTTTTATTAAGCTCATTTTTAAATAAATACTATATAAGAAGGAAGAATGAGTATCAATTTCAACAGGTGGCGTGACATACAAATTTAATCACAGGTAACATTTAAAAAAAGAACATACAGCGTTCCATGACATACAAAGGAAAGAAAAGAAGAAAACTAAAAATCAGACCAAAATCAGACCACAGCAAAGTGAAACTCTTCACTCCTCCCCCATCGCAGTCTGGATGATCTGGGCTCTCTTGATCTTCACCGCCTCTTCAAACTTATCAATCGCCTGGCTACACGATTTTTTCTGAAAGATTACAAAATCAAGTAAAATATACTGATATTCAGCTATGGAAACTTGAAAGATGCACTTCTGTTGCAAAAAATTTACTTGAGACTCCAAATAAGATAATAAATCAAATACAACTATCTACATTACTCATTCATCTATTAGGGGAAATTAACAGGTCTAAAAGTTGTTTACATAATAATCAAGGAAATTCCTAGAAATAAAACATATTTTAAGTATAATAAATCAAATGTCCTGTAAGAGTAGTAAGTTTATAAAAACTAAAGCATAGAATATACAAAATGCTAACAAAAGGGGTTTGAGACTTCACTTTAAATCTTGATTTTATTTACACCATAATGCATTACAATTTTATACAGATTTCAGGGAAGTATTTAATATATATATAATTTTTTATATGCAAGTAATATAAGTATAACTTATACTTATATATATATATATATATATATATATGTAAGTATTTAGTATTAGAGCTGTGCAATTAATCGAAATACAGTTTCGATTTTAACCTCCAACAATTATGAAAATACAATAATCGAGATAAAACTATTATTGTGCCCTATTCCGCCCCCTTTCCAGCGGTGTGCTTTCATTCCTCCATAAAAGCCCAAACTTCATGTGCAGATCAGTAAAATCATGTAAAGTGACTTTCGCAAAATGCAAAAGTTTATTACATTTATTTGTGTTTTTAAAAGTGCAAAAGAGAACTTGTGCTGTTCCTCAGGAGGCTTTCTGTGCACACACTCAGAGACGGAACAGAACACGGACATGTAAAGTCACCTTTTAAAGTAGGCTGTTAAGCTGAATACTTTTACATTATTATTATTTATTTTATTATTTTAACACGTATATGAGTTAGCCTAGTATTCTGCTGTGGTATTGAGAATTGTGAAATTTCGCTGGTATCTAATATGCAGACATCATTGCAACCTTATTTACAGAAAATACATCTTGTTTTGGTTAAGTAGCTCTCTCATAATAGTGTTAAATAATTGTGATTACGATATTAATCAAAATAATCGTGATTATGATTTGTGCCAAAGTATGTAAGTATATATATTTTTAAACCTCGTCCAATACCGTCACCTGATGGACTTTTGATTCCTTGCCACTGTCACTTTTGGCTTGCTGAGTAGGGGTTTAAGACAATTAATATTCAGTAATATTATTGATTTAACTGCATTGATACTACCAGATGAGAACAAAATTTGAACTGAATTAAGCTGGATAATTTCACTAAATTTGCAACACTGAATTGAATGAACATTGAACTTTGAACTAAATAAATGCCCCTATTGCCTTCTGCAGAGCTGCTTATAGCTGAATTTAACTTGTTTCGATTGATGAACTTTGCAAAATTGACACGGGCTATTTTAGTATCACTGAGGTACTATTACATGACGTTTATTATGATTATTTCAAGCAATAAAAGTCATTTTATGGTTTAAATTTTCTATAAAACTCTGCATCGACACACATTGACCTGAACTCAAACACTAAACTAATCTGAGCTGAAGAATGACAATTATCTTCCGTGGAGCTGCTTTACAGCTGAAATCGAATTTGTTTTATAATTGATGAATTCTACAAGACGGACTTTTAATGTTTATGAATGTGAAGCTGCATTGAAACAGTTTGTATTGTATAAAGTTCTATATAAATAAATGTGGCTTGACATTTTGTGTCAGTAAGCTCATACTTACAATGATAAACTTCTGTCTCTCTTTCTGAAGTTTCAGAAACTCCTCCACAGTCAGACTGTCCACAGTCTTCTTCAGCAAGATAAAATCACAGGTTTGAGAATGTGTTTTATGCTCTTTCCTGATAATACAAGAACACCACAGCACATCAGAACAAAATGCACAATAACCAGAGGACTGATGACATTTCCTGACTTGCAATCCGCGTCTTATTGAATTACAGAGACAAAGCCTCTCTCAGCTCTACAATGCAACAGTGGAAAGTTGAACAGACATGGACTCACTCAGGGTCATCCTCAGGTTCCCATCCTTCCAGCTCTTTCAGACAGAAGAAACACTGCGCTATATCTGGACTATTGTCTGACGGGGTGTGAATAAATCCAGCTTTGGCCATCTACAGAACCAAAAAAACAGTATAAAGAGGAAAAAACTCAATTTCAGAACCTACAAAACAACTTTTCTGTGTTGACGGATCGGAGGGATTAAGTTACTCACGTTTTCTGGAGTGCAAATGCAGCCCTCTTCAAACGGCCAACCAACGAATGTTTGAAGTCTGTTCTCATAAAAGTACATTTTAGTCTGGTCGTCACTACTACGATCCATTTTCTTGAATATGGACTATGGAGAGTAATATTAAAATAATAAGAAAGAAGACCGAGATATTCGCGTGGCTTGCTTGTTGTTGTCTTTTCTTCCGGTTAAAGTTTAAAATTTAGAGCGCGAGTTATGATTGGCTAAAGGATGTAACTTCCACGCATGCGCAGATCGAGAATATTTTACGTAACTACGTGTATACATTAGCATTATTATATGTAACTTTATGATCTTATTAATAATATAATAAGATTAATAATAAAGTAACTTTCATTTTATGGAACACGTAATTTTTTCTCTATCTCTTTTCTGCAGAGATTGTACTGTGGTTTATTAAAGCTCTTTGGTGAATTGGCCAATATGTTTTTGTGTCTAGCTCGCAAGTGTTACAAGTTTGTAAGGCACATGAGACCTTTTCATGTTTTTTGATAACTGTTCACAATACTTAATGGAATTTTTTAACGATTAGGTTGTATCTTTACAAAAACTGTTTTATTCGTTGTATATAGACACATAGAGTGCACTGTTGCAAACTTTGTAAGTGAGAATCCTATATGAAGGACGTCAATTACAGTATTTCAATGGAAACTGGTTACCAAGGACAATTTCAACAGGCTTCTGTTCTGAAACTGTTTAGCAATAGCGTACAAGTATATAATTATTATTGGGCTTCGAATTTTTTATCATATTGACTGCAGCTACCAGCAGTTTATTTTTGAAGCAATGCAAGTCTTCACAAACAATGCTGGTCCGAAAGAACCGGTTCGCGGAAAAGAACCGAACTTCCCATCACTAATGCTGGGTCATCTCGGTCGGTAGTAATGCGAACTGTGTAAAGCACACAGCAACAGCCAATTAAATTCAGAGCAGAACAATCCATTTGTTTGATCTAAACCCAGGTTACAGTAAATGAGATTAATTCCTCCAGAATTAGAAGACAGGATTCTAAAACCTTTCCAGATGGTCTTAAGAAAGAGAAAGCAAATAAATCACAGTAGGGAATAAAATAAATTGAATCCTGGTGGTACCTTTCATTTCTTGGTTGCTTGGCTTCCCTGTCAGTTAATAGTAACATAAAGAAACAACAAGCAGAGTTCATTTGCCAGGCCTAAATATATTTAAATGCCATGTATGTCCATATATTACAAACACAGCAGTCTGTAACCCCAGAGAATAAAACAAGCTTCACTGGAACTGACAAACATTGACATGATAATAAATAATAGCATGAAAGACAAGACAATAATGGGTCATTAAAGTAAAAAAAAAAGAAAAGAAGTAAACAACAAAAATAGCAGTAATGAATTATAATGTGTCAATTTGAAAACGAACAGAGATGTTAGAAGTGATTTGCCACAGTAATAGCATGCTTTGCAAGTTTGATGTAAGATCATAACCTCACACATTTTTCCTAACAGTGTGCAACAGTGAGCTTATATGATAAAGGTTCTTCTCATGTTTGAATTCTTTTTATATAGCCTCATTTTGACTATAAACCAGAAATGGTTAATAATACATACGTAATTCTGAATACTGACTCTACATCAAATGCTGACTGATGGGAAAACAGATGTTGAAATATGAAACCTTAATTGTACCAATTTATTTTTCTCATATTTGTAAATTGTAACACTCCAAAGAGAAAGGAAAAAATGAAATCGCATCATATGACCCCTTTAACACAGGTGAGTGACAGTTCCTTAAATGTCCACATGGTGTCAGTATTCCCAGAGGGAAGAGTTGTCTGCAATCTCTCCATCTCCTTTCAGATTGCCTCCTTGGTCTCCACGCAGATATTTGCCGTTTTTGCCTCTTATAGCTATCCGACCATGCTCTAAGAACTCAAAGCAGAAATCTTCAGGTGTGTCTCCATCAGTGCACACCAAGCCACTGTTGGATACATACCAAAATTTTCCACCAGCACCTGTAGGAAAACAATGCTGGTCAGCTTCTTAACATAAATGACTTGAGTCCTGGTTCATTTCTGACAAAAATGCCAAAGTGCCAAAAATTATATTTAAATGTTTGTTGCATATTTAAAATGTTGAATTTTGAATTTCACTATTTCGTAACATTTGGTATATTTCATAATTTTGTATTCTACTTGTATGGTTATATGAAAATAGTGTATGTAGGTAAATCAGTTCCACCTGGATAATTAATAAAAAATATTTCGACATTTCTGACACTGATTACATTTAATCAAGTCAGGTTCAATTTAACTACAAGCTCACAATCGTTGTATAACTGTAACATTGCCTGAAAAATCCTATTTTAATATCTATATTCCTATTTTTTCATCATCTAAAATTTGTTGTATTTCATAATGTTTCAACATTCTAGTTTTATCATTATAAAATTACATTTAATCAAGTCAAATTCTAGAAGTTCGTGAAGGCTGTATAACTGTTACAATACCTAAAAAAGCTCTCTTTTTATCATCTAACATTTGGTATATATAATAATGTTGTAAAATATGTAAGAATAATAAATAAAAAAAAGGCAAAATATATTTATTTTATTTTTGACATTTCTGACAACTGCTTACAACTTAATAGAACTCATTGCCAGAAGCTATTTTTGACCTTAAATACATTTCCAGGAATTAAAAGCTGTTAATTGCTTTCCAGGAATCTGTTTTAGGAGTTATTACAGTACATACAGATTACAATGATTGACAATGTGGCTGGATTAAAACTCACCTTTAATGTGGTATGCACCGTCATTGAACTGCAGTGTAAATATATCATAGACTGAACGATTGGCGTCCAGTGTATTAGAGTTCTTGTGGTGGCAAACATAACCATTCTCTCCCCTCAGGATCAGAATGGGCCTATTGATCAGCTTCAGAATCAACTGCTCGTCCTCACCTGGAGGAAAAAACAGGGTGACATATTGTATCATTATACTTTTTTCAAATAAAATTGGATTTGATTTAGATGTTTTGATTTGATTTGTGGGTAGTATCAAGTATGAACTCACCCACAGAGTCACTGACTGCAGCAAGCTGGCCATTTTTCTTAGTGCATACGTATTTTCCATTGCTGGCTCGCAGTGCCACCCGTCGACCGAGCCACACTATGTCAAACATGGTGTTGGCAACGCTGCACACAGTGGGAGATTGTATGTATAAGTGTTAATAAAACATATACACCCACTGAGAACAGGAGTAAATGAAATGGATTTACAATTTCTGTTATTTTACCACTGTGTTATGGATGTTATGGTTGCATTTACTGATTGTTACATAATAGGACTGTTGCTTGCCCTCATGCCATATTTCATATAAGTGGAAAAGAATGATTTTTCATAACCGAAAGTTTGAAAAGTAAAGTTAAATCTTACACTTCCGTGGCTGTTGACTGGATGCCTCCATGAGTGACAAGCGTCCAGTAATTCCCTTCGTTAGTTCTGAATTTGCACTTTCTTGTGTCTTTATCAATTTCCATTTGAAATGTCTCCATGTCTGTCTCATCGTCCTGATTGGCTGAGACACTCACTCCTGTTGAAACACATAGAGAAACAAAAAGGACATAAGACAATTGTTATTCGATGCTTTTAATTTAAAACATGCATATATGGGGGAGCAGTGAATTTTTGCTTATTTATTCAAATAATGTTCAGAATGAAGCTTTGAAATTGTGCCTCAAACACATATTATTAGCAATCCTATTTGACATTTTAGAAGGCAGTACATTTTCAATTAAATATAAAAATGACTTAAGTCAGATTCAATTTAACTATAAGTTCTTGAAGGCTGTATGACTATAACAACACCTGAAAAAGCCCTATCACTTAAAATTATATATATTACATGAACATACTGTTCAGAAGTTTGGTGGCAGTAATTTTTTCTAATGATTTTATAAGAAGTCTTTTATGCTCTGATGCTACATTTGTTTTTATCAAAAATACAGTAAAAACAGTAATATTGTGAAATATCATTTTAATTTAAAATGACTGTTAATCAATTTCAACATTGTAAAATGTATTTTATTGCTGTGATGCAAAGCTGAATTTTCAGCAGCCAGTACACTAGTCTTCAGTGTCACACGATCCTTTAGAAATCATTCTAATATGCTGCATTCTAATAAATAAAAAAATAAAAAAATAATAAAAAAAGAGGACTCTCAGTTCAGAACAACAGCAAGAGCAAACCCAGCCTTGTATGTTGTATCTGTTAAACAATCCGCTAAAATGTATCCGCTTAAACAAGATAGCGTGTGTTTGTCCTGAACTTTCCCCTAGTTTGGAATCCTGAAAGGAGACAAAGCACCAGCATGATTAACTTCACTGCCACACACGACAGGCGTCAACCTGACTCTGAGCCCTGTTCTGGTGCAACGTCTACAGCGGACCATGTTTATTTAAGACTCACATCTATAGTTAATGGAGCCCAAACATGTCGCTCTGCTGTCTATAAGCATCCTTTATTTCAATGCAAGATCACTGATGTTTTGAAATGAGGAGGTTTACTCATTCAGTCACGATGACAGATTCATTCCAAATCACTGTATTATTTGAAACATTTACACAATAACACCACTGGCTGTGGTCTGAAACATTTTTTTAAATATCCAAGCCATTAATCTTGATTAAACTATTCGGTTGTAAAAAATTTAGACTTTGTGTGTTTCTATTAAAAAAACCTTGTGTTTTTTAGTCTATGTACCAAAATTATATTCATGCATTCTTATTGGCAAACAGCATTTCTGACTATGCATCTGCATTACCATTCAGTGCAGTAGGGCAAAACCACTTGTGAATGTATCTTTCCCATTCCACTGATAAAACCTTGTCATAGAAACCATGACCTTGGCAGGGTCAGAGGCCTCGCTGCACCCCACTGGGTTTCTATGCCAATTAGTCCTGGGACTTTGTCATGGCATTCATTAGTCCAGAATTTAAGGCATAGCTGTGTTCAAGAAACATCTTAAAAACATGAGAGTGCTTGTTTATTTGTAAGTGGCAAAAATAGGGTCAGTCAATAAAAAATTTTGTTTAGGCGAAGAGACTGTTTAATAGTTTTAAATGTTATTTGCTATTTATTAAAATTATTATTTAAAATTAAACATACATGTACGTACATTACGATTCAAATGTTTGGAATAATTATGATTTTATAATGTTTTTGTGTAAAAAAAAAAAAAATGAAAATACAGTAAAAATAATACTATTCTAATTTAAAACAACTGTTTTCAATTTGACTATACTTTAAAATGTAATTTATTCCTGTGATGACAAAGCTGAATTTTCAGCATCATTACTCCATGATCCTTCAGAAATAATTTAAATATGCTGATTTGGTGCTCAAGAAACATCTTATACTTATTATTAATTTTAAAACAGCTTTTGCTTAATATTTGGGTGGAAACTGTGATACACTACCATTCAAAGTTTGAGGTAAGTAAGAGTTTAAAAACAGAAGAAATTAATACTTTTGTTCATCAAGGACACATCAAATTGATCAAAAATGTTACAAAAGAATTCTATTTTAAATAAATGCTGTTATTTTGAACTTTGTATTTATCAAAGAATCCTGAAAAATGTGGCATGGTTTCCACAAAATTATTAAGCAGCAAAAACTGTTTTCAACAATATTAGGAACCAATATAATATATTGGTTTAATGTGGTACAATTTAATTATTTGGTTTAATTTCAAAATATTACATTTTGAATGTATTTTTTGATCAAATAAATGCAGCCTTGGTGAGCATTAGAGACTTCTTTAAAAAAAAAAAACATTAAAAACCCATAATTATTTAAAAATGTTGGTAGTGTAAGTAATTTAAAATTATAAAACATAAAAAAAAATAAGTATCATAAATGATAGATAAATAAACAAATAAATAAATTGTATTGTTTATTTGAGCTTCTTCAGAGATGGTAACCAACTTTATGAGATCTTCAAAAGCTTTTGAAAATAAGAAGAAACAAAACAGTGTTTCCAAACTTTTGTCTGGTAGGGCAAATAAATGATTCAACTTCATGATCAAGCAAAACCAACAGCATCGTTCAAGATGCATCAAACAGATTGTCGTGGCTAAGGCTGGGATGTATCTGAAAATATCCCTTGATCATTTTCTTAAGCCTTTAACAGGCCAGATCCTGCACCTTACCCACTTCTCCCTCCACACTGTCATCCTTCCTGCCCGGCTGCCCCTCCCCTTCTAATGCTGTAACCTCTCCTAATTCTCAGTATGCAAAGAGGCACAAAGCTGCACTGTAGGGCCCAGTAAGCAGCTTTTTGGAGTAGCGTATGTACAATCCTCCAGCTCCAAGGAAAACCAGTCGGGAGGCTGAAGTAATACTATTGTTTCGACGGGACTCTGCAGGGTGCCTGAGACATGCTGGGAAAGATACCAGGCCTATCAGCAGAATCTGCCACCATCGATCACTCCACCATGGAATGCTTTTTTTTTTTTTGCTATGATTTAGGCTATCTGTGTGCTTGTGTTTCTCTCTCCACCAGTCATTTTCTCTCACACTGCATGGACTATTTTTACAAATAATCTTGGCTATCAATAGACACTACCTGGTCTTACTTTGGAATTTAGTTCTATAATCCCATTCCTAATGACTTTAAGTGATAGAAATATGTGGTATGCAGGATTAAGACAACACAGTGTTAGTGCATTGTTTTTGTTGGAACCAGAGTACAACTACAGCCAAAGCCGCCAAAAAAGTCTAGCTTCTAATCAAGACAAAATCAGGGATAACGAAAAAGAAACAGCTTCACATGTTTCTCTTTCTCAGATCAGACATCACTCTGCTGCAGCGGTTTCCATTTCTGTGGCCCGTTACACTTTATTTTCCAATTTCACGTCTGACTCTGCTTTAGTTTTGCACCAAAGATAGAAGAAGAGAGGCCAGTTGGGGCAGGACACTCTATCTCCTTTGCTGATCATTCCTCATCCACGGCATTGTGATTACTGAGCTCAATCCTGAACTCCTGCGAATGACCTCACTCCCATCACAAAATGCTCCCTCTCAATTTACCAACCCATTTCTGTGGAATGGTAACAGTACCCAGAGACAGAGACAGCGAGAGGGCCTTCTCAAAACTGGGGCAAGTAGATCGCTGCATGCGTACCAGGTCAAATACCTATCGGAGAACAAAAAAAATATACGGGCGAACACTACAAAAGGTGACTACAGAATGCATAGGTTTTGGTTTAACATGCATGTATACAGTGGGGTTCAAAGGTCTGGGGCTACATTGAAAATAAAATAAAATAAAATAATAAACATCTGGTGTGCATGCAGCTCAAGTGCTGCTGTCCCAAAGCAGAAAGGGGATAAACTAAACACATAAACTAAAAACTAAAGGGATTCTGAAACTTATTTTAATTTTTCAATTCAACTTTCACTCTTGTTGATATTACAATTTGTCATGAAAAATTGTATTCAACTATAATTATGCAAAATATAAGCATTTCCACTAGTGGTCCCAGACGTTTGGATCCCATTCTATGTGAAAATTTCTACTTAGAAATATTTGGCCCAAAACTAAAGCTGTGATCTTCAAATGTACCAAGACAGCCACTCTGAGATAAATTTTTAATGGTAAAGTGATGCCACAATCTACTGTCTCTCATTTTGTTAGCTTCTTTCTTTCTTTCTTTCTTTCTCAATATCTCTTCCATTGTGCTCATCTCCTTTTCACCTTCCGGGCCGGATTAGAATGCTCCAGGGAACACTGTGGAGGTGATGAAGAACATGGTAACAGATCCACCAGTCTGAGTGGATGCCATCTTTCCGACTCAAGTTTGTGTGCCACACAACATTCTCCATAGCTGCTGCAGAAAAAGTACACCACGACAAAAGCAAACTAATAAGCGTCAGCCAATAATAGCAATATTTCTGAAAAACTACCATGCAATGTCACTACTCATTATTGATTAAAAGATCATCTGTGAGTTTGTGTTGCATCCCAGGGCGAGAGGCCTGGGGCTTAATGAACGTCAGACCTGCAGAGCTGGTTGGCTGTCCTGTCTGAAGTCATCTCTGGTTCCCTTCATCATGTAGAGACTCTCTAAAAGAAATGAACTGCTTCATCCATTAGCAAAATTACTTTACCTAATTGCTTTTTGCACAGAATGAATTTGCAATAGATGGGGAGAGATGCTTCTCGTTCATTAAGAACAAATGTTCCATCTGGCCTGTGTAATTTTCCCTGTCTTTTTTCACCCATAATGAAATGCCTTGATTTTTTTGGTAATATGTTGATACTTGACGTTTCCTAATGTTGAATCGACACCGAACCATTTGAAGCAAGAGAAACACACCATGTAGAACTCAATAAGAGTCATAATGTGTGACTCAAACATCGAACCTCTTAATTTTGATAACAATCCAGAGCTTTTGACTATGGCTTCAGCTGCTTACATTTAAGATCTCACAATTTATTGGAGGATTTGTATAATAGCTGCCTTGCAACCTATTTAGCTGGTAAAATTAAATAATATTCTTTGTGCTCTCAGTTGGTTCCTGGTGTACATGCTTTTCTACCACAAAATAACTTTTCGAATGGCGTTAAATAACTCTATCCCATGGGTAAACTAAACTGACAATACAACGTCATGTCCTCTTTAGGGAACTGCCGCTAAAATCTTTGATTTATGATCTTTTAATAGTGACAATGACAAAAAAGCCACCTGTCCACACCCATAATGCATTATATCTCTATTCATTGTGATTTTGTGCTCGATCTTTCTTCCTCCTGCCTGTCTTGTTCTCTTTTCTGTTGTATACTTTAACACTTTTCATTGTCTCTTTTCCCCCTATTGGGTTTTTTTGCCTGTCGGGCCAAAACCCAACTGCTCCCAAAGGACTCTCTGATTTGCGTCCCCATTGTAGCCCAGTGCATTGCATGGTCCCCAGATAAAGAAATGTGGCGGAAGGCTTGTGTTTCTGAAAGCAGACTCCACCATCATTGAAATGCCCCTGTCCACTCAATTATTTATCACACCTTACCACTAGTGTGTGCATGCATGTGCACATGTGCATGTGAGTATATCAGAAATAATTATTCTTATTATTCTTATAAAAATACTGACTAAAAGTGTATCACTCTGTAAAAAATTATGCGCAAATATGTGTACATCTGTGAGAATGAGCATAAGACCAAGAGAGAGAGAGATGGATGAGTGTACTGGAGAGGACAGGATCTGTTACTGACCCAGCTTCCTATGGTGGATATTCAAAGCCATTCAGTTTCTCCAGTAATTTATCTATTGCAGGTGGCTCAAAATGCTTACCAAGAGCTCTGCACTGGAGATAATGGATAATGTTACAGCATGCAAGATTTACATTATAGAACTTAGTTGCTCAGTCAAGACAGGAAACTACAATTATGCAGCGTGTTTGTTAGCAGAGCACATGGCCAGCGAATAAAATTCAGCCATGTCTGGCAGATTAATATTGGCCTACTCAGCTGAAAAGACAGCTGCCGTATATTATTTCTGTGAGGTCACGCTCATGGGCGTGACTCAGTGTTCACCTGCTCTCTAGGCTAGTTTCCATAGATTTGACTATGTGCTCATAGCTTGCAATGCAGCTGCGATTTTGCATGCAAGTTATTTTCATGCACTGGTGTGCTTGCATATGAAACACTAATGGTGACCGAAACCGATGTAAACAACAATGCAAATCATGCTCAGACTACTAAAATCCTATTGTTTAGCATATTATTTAGTCTGAAAATTTAATTTTTCACTGAATCTTTCCATTACAATTGACATTTACATGCTTGAACTCCATACTCTAGATTTCTATATCTGGTTATCCAACAGGTATTAGAGGTAGCCTACTTAATAGATGTAATCAGGACTCACATCTGTTACACAAGACGTCACAGGAGTGCTAAGGGATAGGGACAAACCTTATTTTGAGAGTTCCCTTGAATAATTTTTGAAGGGATAGTTAATCCAAAAAAATCTAAATTCTGCCATAATTTATACTCTCATGACATTCCAAACCTGTATGACTTGCCTTCTTGTGGAATGTAAAAGATGATATTTTGAAGAACGTTTCAACTGTTTTTGTCCATACAACGAAACTCAATATTGTACAAAACAACATTAGACCCTACCGAAATTCATTGTACAGAAAAAACACAAAGACATACAGATTTGGAAACGATATTCACCCAATTCTACAGCAAAAATTAGGCTAGTCGCTGAAGCATGTGGTCCTCCTGTAGGGGAACGCCAAAAGAAATTCAACTAGCACACTTACCTTGTCTGATGGAAACAAATCTGTTGTTGGAGGCCTGAAACACCACTTGCGGATGGCTTTCCTCAAGATCAAACAGCTCATCTTTGCCAGGTTTGGAGCAGCGTCCAGAGCGCAGAGTTCCAGTGGGCCCCATGGGGGTCAAGTACTTCCCCTCACAGTCCTTGAAGGCCAACTTGCCTGATTTCAGTTCCAAAGTGTAGCCTGTCCCACGACCATTTTCAGAAGACAGTTTCCCATCATTGCTCAGAAAGCGGCTGTCACTGGTCTTAAGACAATATTTGCCATCCATGTACACAAGAGTTAAAAGAGCATTCACACCCCAAGGGATGTTGCTGTCCACAGCAATCTCTCCCTCTGGAGATGCTAGGTGGGCATAGCGTTTCCGGGCCACACTGAGCAGATTTGCCTGTGGGTGCAGGGCCAGGTGCATGGCCCATAGTTCTGCCTCACCAATGGTCTGAGCAAAGCAAGACAAGTAGTCCTCTGAACCTCCGAAGAAGCGCAGATATGGCTCGGACTGCAAGGCCCAGCGCCCGTCTGACTGTGCCACAATCAGAAAGCGGCAGTCGTTCTCTTTGGTTTCAGCCTCACAGCTTACCTTGCCATCTTTGTCGGAAGCCAGGTAGCGCCCCAGGTGACTGCGCAGGTAAATCACCTGACCGTCCTGCTCATCCTGCTCCAGAGTCCAAATCTGCTTCTTCTTTAGACTTGGAGCTGAAGCGTTCACCTTGAAGCCAAAGGCCTCTGCTGTTAGATAGCGATTCTCGTAATTGATAAGCCCAAATTGTAGCTTGAGAGCTTTACTGCCATTGGAGGGCATCCTGGCTTAAAACCCAGATGGAAGCCAGAGAGTGTTGAAAGTCCAGAGAAGAAGCTGAACAGCAATGTTAGCTCCCCTACTTGTCCTTATTAATTTGCTTCCTATTGGGGAAGAGTAAAGTGAAGTCCACTTCACTATAGGCTCCTTAGTGTAACTTACTCTTTTCAGATACAGGTCTTAACTTTCTTTAGTAGGCTGCTCCTAAGTTCCTCTTTTGGTTTTGTTCTTGGTCCTTTGCCTCTCCGCTTGGTAAAAACGGCGTTTTGCTCCCCAGAGAGCTTGCAGAGGCTCTGGAGATATTTCCCCTTGTGTTTCCTAATCAGATCAGATTATAATCAAGAGACTCAGCACCTCAATCCAGAGAGCCACTGACGTCACCCTGATCCCAATGGTTCCTTTTCCTCTGTGCCTCTTTCACTCACTTCCTCTGTCTCATTCCCTTTCCTTCTCAATTTACCTGCGATTTTCTGTCCTCTCCAGTGGCTGTCTTTGGGATTGTGCGACTACTGATCTCTTAAAGAGATGCTCAAGACCGAGTCACACTATTTTACTTCTTCTCGATGCTTTACTCGTCTCAGTCCTTCAGTTTGACATCTGATTAGTTTGTCTCCTCCTTGTCCTCTTCTAAGTCATTTTACTTGAGTCACATCCTCAGAACTTGTATGTCCCTTAAACAGGCAAATTGTTCTCCTCCGAGACCTTGAAAATTAGCTGCATGTCTGTGTGCAAGGTGCCCACTAAGATGCCAGGCCAGCTTGTGCCATGACAACAAACGCCACCTGAAGTACAGTGCAGCTTTTCAGGTCTACTTCAACACCTTTTCTACCTCCCTTTCACCTGTTGTCCTATCCTCTTATCTTTCTTTTTCTACGTCCTTTCTCCCGTCTCGCTATATTGGACGTATTCTTACACTAGAGACCCTTTATAGAGGCCCAGTAATCCACCCGTTCTATAGTGCTCCTGCTTTTGTCCTCCTCCCCAGTCTCTAACTCTTTGCTGATGGCGTTTTGACACAAAGCTGGGTAACCAGAGCCCTCCCCCAGCACCAGCTTTAGAGGGGGATCGGCTTTCCAGTGTACACTCAAGATAAAGTTACATGACTTCTCTGATTCCGAGCTTGGTGGGTCATCTTTATTACGGCAATGTGTGCAGGGGTGTGTGAGTGTACTTGGAGGTAACGAACAGATGCTTATTCAAAGATGCCTGACATGTAGCCATTGAAGACCAATTTACTGTGACTGAACACATCTCTCTAGCTCATTTCCAGTCACATAAGTTGTTTGCTTATCATTTCACTAGCCGTGTTGCCTCATGTTTGCATAATGCTACACATATTGTCGATCCATTTCAAATCCCAAGCATGTTTGTTCAAAAAACAGTCTCCTCCACAGGCCCCTAATCTGCCTTTCAATGATTCAACTCCTTTATTAGACCAATCTAATCCACAGCAACCCCAAACCCCTCCTTCCTTTCATTTGGCGCGTCTTGGACACAGAACCTTCCATCTGTCGGGGACTGACCGCGCATGGGACGGGTAAGCCTGAACCACACACACACTCACTCTAAACTCTTCTAAGCACAGGAACAATAAGACGTTCATTTACCGTTATTGGCTTTGACAAATATATCCTTTGTTTAAGCAGAGATGTTAACCTTATACATGCACTATGACCCTTACATTTATATTTACACTTTTACGTTGTTGCCAAATGCTTTGATATAATAAAACAAAGTACAAAAAATTGCATTCATTATGTTACAGTGAGCAGCTGAGGATTTAACTGCAAAATCCAGTCAAGCAGAACACAGTACCTCTGTACAACTGATGTGCTGTCAGTGGAGTACTTGTAAATCACTGTATAATGCCTTTGAGAGTCAAAAATAATATCCCATCAGGTTCAGAATAAAAGCCGAATTATCACACACAAAACAAGTGTTTCTATATTATTAAAAATCAGTAATGGTGGGAAGCTTCTTTAACCTTGCCGCCATAATCAAATCTCCCTTCATTTAGGCTTTCTTCAATGGGCTGAGAGCTTGTCAATAGCAAGCAATCCCCTTAACAGCCTGACTGACAGTTTGGAGCTTTGCACTTTCAAAGAGAAAAACTATCACAACCTGTGAGCCAGGTTAATTCTCCTGCCTGCAAATAAAGTGACGCTGAAGTTCACAGCACTGACCATATCTTTTTCCACATGTCTGAATGAAAACATGAATGAAGGCTGAAGAGATAGGAGGTCTCCAGGTATATGAACATGTAATGTTGACAATATGCCTAATATGGTTTACAATATGGCTAATTTGGAAAGCACATGTTTCACAGTACCTACCCACAGAAAACTATCTGAATGAAAGGAACGTACTAGAGTGTGCCACCAGAGGGAGGCAGAGTAGCAGAAATTTACCAGAGACATGAGGAAAGTTTAGCATTATAAGGTTTTCTACAGTAATCAGATTTTTTTCCTCTCACACATTTCAACCCAGAAATGTCTGGTTTTCTCTCCTGCAATGTCCCTAGGGTCCATTAGGAAGCCTATAATCTTTCAAGATTAACCACAATATATTCAACAGGGGTGAAAAATGCAGTCCAGTTTGCATGTTGGGAAGTCATACTGCAATAGAGAACCATCCAAACAATATGAACAGCAAGTAAATAACATTAAAGACAAATTATACATCACATAAACTGTCTGGTTACTAATACCCTGAAGTCCATGTTTGGGCTCCTTAGTGTCATTTTTACATTTAATTACTACAAGATTTGTCTGACAGTATTATTTCGGCCCCCGGTCCCCATTCACCTAACCACAACAACACTATTACCACCTCTTTTATTTTTGTTGGTATTCAGCTCACAAGTGTATTCCCGTGGTCCATTACCTAAGTCAGGCATGACTCTATGCAACACAGTATTGTGTGTGTCCACGCATGAGTGTGTACATGAGTGTGCTTACGTGTGTGTAGTGTGTCTGGTGCGGTGGTACCTCTTGATAGGCAAGCAGATGTTTTTGGGAGGCCAGCGCTGCCAGGTTGAATCTGAAATGGTTCTTTAGAGACCATTACCCAGCTCCTCTGATGGCAGTCAAATAGCTATCATTACTACGCAGCCTGGGGAGGAAGCACGATTGTCAGGGAGAGAGAGAGAGAGAGAAAAGAGGGAAGGGGGTGGAAGGAGAAAAAAGCTAGAGTTTAAAAATGAACATTTCAGAGTTAACAGCCCCCCAGCTTTTTCTACCCTATTAACTGCAATGCTGCTATTCCCCTGCTCTGTCGGGAGCAACCCTGCCATCCCCAATACCACCAATATACGTAAACCCTTCTTTCTTGCTCTCCTTCTTCTTCTGTCTCTCTCTCTACCCGGCCTCTTCATCATCCCTTTCATTTTTATCCTTTACTCCCTGCAACCTGTGATCTTCTCTTCCCCTTCTTCTCTCCTCCAAATCACCCTTTCCACACCCAATGCTCAATTTTTCCCACCCTCATCTGCTCAACTCTGAATTCTGCGTCCTTTGGTTCTGTAACCTTGTTTTATCCTGTCATTAGAACAGCAATACCATGTTTCAGTTCAATTGTGGCTGGGGTAGGTTGTGGTTTTTTTTTTTATTTTATTTTTTTTATCTACACTCAACTGAAATTAGGTATTTTAGAATTACTTGTACTTGTTTTTCCTCCATTGAACTAATTGCTTCTACTTGTATTATTTTTTATTTACGTTTTGATCAAACAAACTTCTCTGAAATGAATAAATGTTAATGTAATGTAATTTCTCTTTATTTTTATTTACACATGTAGAGTAATTTCAATTTTTATTGTATCTGCTTGTAATTGCTTTCTCCCTTGCATTAAGCTCTTCTGCTTTATTATTCTCTTTTACAATTCACTTTGGGTAAAATGTACGCTAAATGAATAAATGTAAATCTAATGTATTCTATTTCTTCTTTTAGCATAAGTCATCTGAACAAAGATGGAGAAATCCAGACCAGATCAGCACAGGGTTGATGGCTGAAGATGCCACCAGAGCTTTAGCTTACAGCTGTGGTAGCCATGCGGCTGTGTGTGACCTCCTCGTCCACCACGGGAGAAGCTAAATTGTATGTCTGCTGCATAATTCATAAGGGGTAAACGGGAAAGAGCGCCTTCCATCAAACGCAGTCCTCGAGCTGACCTCTAGGTGTCACTATTGCTTTGCACGTTGACTTGTAGGGCTCATCAGAGTCTCCCTTCTTAAGAAAATAAGAGATTAATGCTCGGTTTGTCAGACGTGGTGCCTCTGTGACTGTGAGCATGATGGGATTATACTCACTTGACTATTTTTAATCTTTGTTTTATAGCCCCCCTCTGCAAACGGGACCTTCTAGTCAAAAAAAGGTGCGAAAGAGGAGTCAAGCGGTTTATAGCTACATCTTAACAGCAATTAAAGGTGCACAAATATATACATATAAAGAAATACAATTAAAATGATTTACGCCCACATGAGAAACTTCAGTCATGTCAGTTATCTAGAAAAAAAATTCTGCATGGAGCAGGTTGCTTCCTCATGGGCGCCATCATATTGTGTCATGCAACTGACCAGATTACTACTCCTACTACTACAACTAATAATATTGTGTTGACTTTATATAGAGAATTAATCCTGTGCTCAAGAAAAAACAAAACAAACCAACATACTACAGATAAAACAAAACACAGCATGAAGTGGCCACATTTAGTAAACAAACTTCATGCATCCAGGCCAATAGGTGTCAGTATAAAGTCCTTATGAACTAAAAAGTTAAAAGTTTAATTTTGGTTGTGACGCTAAAAATAATTGGCATCTATCAGAGAGCGCGTGAAACTAACACGGTTCTGACATTCGGTGCCGCACCTCTTAACAACCTTAATATGATTTCCTTTAAAAACATGATTATTAGATATGATATTTAACTCTATATTTTCCGCCTTTGCCTGTCTGGAAACACCATACGTGAAGCCCGGGGTGTTTTATTTCATCCTGCTTGTGCTGCAAGGAATTACTGGAGTCAGATTCTCTCTCAGTGTTGCTCTCATGCATCCTGTTCATTCTCGGCCAGTTACAGGTTATATTTTATTGGCAGCATACAAATTAGATTGGACATTATGGAATGCATCAAACAGACGTGCGCCTGCAATTACACGTTGGACATATTAAGTAGTTTGATCAGATCAGAAGCGGAAAAGTGTATACCTTTTAGGGGGTATTTACACATGGTTACTTAATGCATTTTTTTGCACTGTCTTGACAACCACTGTAAATGCCCAATGAGATGCATTTGAGCCTGATAGCAGTCGGAT